TCTGTATCACTGAGCACACTGCATTTCCGCTTTTTGTGACATAGAGGTGCTGCAGTGTTAAACGTTGTGGGCCTAGTCTGTGGATCTGTGCATCATATTGAGAATCTGGGCCTGGGCTTAATTTATATTGCAGTGTGTTGTGATACTCTGTATAAGGAAGTACAACAGATGTAGGTGGCAAATACATTTTGGCTTTTTGTTGTAATGGCTCTAGTGAGGGAAGATCTAGGGTCCAGTAGTAATGGGGCTCTGGTCCCGCTTTACAACCATTTGGGCGTGGTTCGATGCTTTCTATTTCTTCATCATTTAGCATTAGTTCTGCATGCATGCCTTGTTCTCCTGGCACTACTCCTATCTTTAGTTTTTTTAGTGCCTATCTTTTTGTGACCACGGCCGAAACACGAATGTATTTGGGTTATTATCACGTTGTGCCTCTCCATCTGCTTCACCTTCCCCTGTGGGTTGGCCATATCTGGGGTTTGGTACTGCTATCATGGGAAAAATGCCGGGAGGACCAGGTGGATCGACATCACCTCCCATATCTCGTCCGTAACGATCTTTTCCTATTTTTTCCTGTGGATTTTCACCTAGTGCCATTTTATCTAACATGTTTTGTGCCTCTGCATAAAGACCAGGTTGAGGTCTAAACAGATCACAGGATAGTTTAAGGGGGGTCGCAGCAGCGGAAGTGGGGGCTGGCTTTGCAGCAGCAGGAGTGGGGGTTGGCTTCAGTATTGATGCTGCTCCAGGGAGTGGTGCATATGGTGGGGGGTTTGATACTTCTGCCTTTTCTTTTTTCTTTTCTTGTCTCTTTTGTTTATTCTCACATCGTCTATCTGCCTCTCGCTTCCATACTTGGAAATATTCTAATTCTTGCGTGCGTTTTCCTTTTTTCTTTAAATCTTTTGTCTGTTCTACTTCTTTCAGTAATGCTCCTTTAAGTTGTGATAGTGCAGATGGGCTCCATTTTCCTTCCCAGGTGGAACATTTGGTCTTTTTAGGATTTCTCCATCTTTGCACACTAATTTGTCCGGCGCCTGGACATTTTTTTTCTAACCACTGTTCGTCAACAGTAAACTTAGTGGGCTGATTACCCATTAAAACAGAACTGCAGAGCTTTCTCTGGTATTAGACTTAAAGAGTGGTTACTGACTACGCCCTTCTACTCCACTCTATTTAGTGGAGCGGTGTCAGTTTTATGAGGCGGAACTCAACCGTTCTCTTTTGTCACCAGTACTTCAGCTACTGACAGGAAATAAAATAACAATAACAATGAGAGTGATTCAGCAGCGTATTGTGCTGTTTAAATCAATTCACTCTCAACACACAGAAAACACAGACATTTACACAGTCGCGCAGACCTTTTCGGCAGGTCAGTCCTAAAAATTCCTAATTTGAAATCCTTTCGGCAGATTAATCCTTAAAAAACTTTTATTTTGAAATCCTTTCGGCGGATTAGTCCTAAAACGTTTATTTTGAAATCCTTTCGGCGGATTAGCCCTAAAACTTTTATTTTACAAATCCGTGCAGTGGATTAGACTAATTAAATCCTTTCGGCGGATAAGACCTAAGTTCGTTTTACGCGAGTGTAAGTGAATGGTTTCTTTACCTCCCCAAGACACTCTGGCTATGTTGAAAGTCAGCCACTGGATCCCAACGTCGTGGACCACTTAATGACACTGGCCAGAACCCGAATTTCACGTCTCTGGACTTTCACTCCTACCCAGAAGAGGCTGTCGACAGACTTTCAGTGCAGTTTCCACGACGTCAGGACACAGCGGCCGATGCTTCCTCTCCGGCTCGGAGGACCAAGAAAATGTGAGGAGAAAATTGTTTAGAAGATAAAGAACCTCACAACTCAGATATCCAGTAATGCTGCACTA